TAAAGAGATCACTCTAAAGACAGTCAGTGAGNTATTCCAGATCAAAAGCTATTTAAAAAGTAAACGTTCGGGTGGAGTCCAGATTTTCATAATTGGTTACTAATTCATTGGTTTATAATTGTCGACCATCAGACTGACTAGAATGAAAGTAAAGGTCCCTTTCACACATGTAGTTATGGTTCTGAGATATTTATTTGGGTTGGCCTTCCAATTACACATTCAAAGAAACATGTCAGAGTATTAAACGCAACTTTTCTAAAGTTGATTGTTATCTAGTGGCCTGACGATGATTTGAAATTTTAAGAATTAAACCGAAATATTGCCAACAAAAGAGTGAAAATGTTAAAACATCATTTTCTCAAACTAGTATGTATATGGATGGTATATAAAAACGGCGGTTTTCAGTTCGAAAAGGTGTTGACGTATTTTAAAAGAATGTTTCACTACCACCTTTCCTTCTTAAAGAGATCACTCTAAAGACAGTCAGTGAGGAATATTTTTTCTGAGTTATTCAAGTTTCTTCACGTAAAATGTTCAATCTTTTTATTTCAGAATACGGTTAATCAGCAGGGCTACTTTTAACTTAGGTCTTAAGAATCGAAGAGTCATTCAGTGAAAAAAAAAACACTCAGAAGACCTGCACAGCAAGACCTGCTTGAGAAGTAGACACGCGTACGTACGTTAACGTTCTTGATCGCGATGAGGTAACCTGTCGTAGGATAGGCCATTTTTAGTAAAATCTACGGCGATGCCACTGATTTTAAACAACGTACATGTAAAAACTTTTATAGTAATAATCTACCATAATTCTCGTTCGGTACACATGTTATTATTATAGATACTGAAGTAGATTACTGACTGATGTAGGCAACTGCACCATCAAGCAGTTGAACTGACGCTAAATCATTTTGCGTAGTAAAGATTAGTGTCACGTATAGAAATTATCATTATAAGATCTTAAATAAGAAAAAAAAAGAATAAATAAATTCTTAACTTACCTGCCTTTGCCGTTAGCTACATAATCTCTTTGCTTTTCGTTTTGCTCTTTTCCTGCTTACGCTAAAAGAATTACGGTTTCCTCTTTGAATGCTATTTCGAAGTTAGACGGTCATTACTGTACTGGCGGACACATCGTCGCGCGTTATGATCCGAATGATCAATTTCCCGATTCAATGAACATCAAAGACCCTTTGGCGATCATACAATATAAGTGCAATGTGATTGAAACTTTCACAGAAGCAATGCCAAAAGTTTGAGTTTAGCTGCAGTCGGTGGGATTATTTTAACAGTTTCGGATTTGTGTACTAACTGCTAACTATACGGTTTAACTTCATGATCAGGGCTACAATGGAAAATTCCTGTTTGTTTTTCAGCGCACTGAACTGTCAAACCGACTACATACCTGTGGCCTCATATATATTGAAATCTACAGCACCAATTGAAATGGCGGCAATGCTTTCGCTGTTGCAATATCATTGACAAGCCACCCACAAATAATATCAGTCACATGTCAGTGCTTATATACTAGAGGCACGTTGCCGGACTATAGCGTAAAGTTCCTCTTCTTCTTAGCGTAAGTTTCCGTGAATAACAAAACAAATGAATAACAAAACTACAAAAGAATAAAGTCAATCTTGTTAAAGGGCCATGATTAGTTTTACTATAATGTGCCCTTCTCCATTCAAATTTTCTTCCTTTATTATCATTATTATGTACACGTAGTTTAAGCAACTTTGTACCGATTGATATTGTACAACTAATGTATTATTGATATTGTACAACTATTGTATTATTGTACAACTAATGTATTATAGGATGGAGTAAAAATAAAAATACAATACAAAAAATACAATACAATAAGTCGACTGTTTCCAGTAGTCTTTTATTTAATATGTTTCTTGCTGTATTTTGGCACACCAATAGTCGGGGGTCACAATACGCAAAATGGGCAAACAAGCCAAGTAATCCTATAGTCCTTAACAGCCGGAGTAAGCTCCTTTAACAGCGCCGTAGTCTGTTCCAGTCGTAACTGCTTTCTCGGCTGTCGCTTGCGCATTTTTAACAATGCCACGAGACTCCAAACACCTGGGAATAAACAGGCTAGGATCGCCGATGTGCAAACACGCATTCGGAGTCACTACAAACTCACTACAGCGTTAATATATTGCCGATTTTTCGTCTTTCCCGGGTTTTTTCATAGGCATGTAGGGATTGATCGATTCATTTTACACGGTGGTATTTACTAGACTCGCTAGTACTGTAGCACCTTCCGCCCTAAGTGCCAACGAGGTGAAACATTAAAATACCCTTTCGAATGTTCGTAACAATCTTTACTATGCTATCTCCTACTAATTCAGTCAACCGACCCTTCACTATCAGGAGCCACGGCTGTCACTGTCGATTCACTGGGACGAAAGTACAGCTCAAGTCAGGAGCCCATGGGCTCCTGCTCAAGTATAAAGGAGGTCTGAGCAGATACACTAGAAACGGTAATAGGAGAGAATACCCTGTTCCAGGCCCCGAGATAGTCGGGTCCGCGGGGATTGAGAAAGCGCGGGCCACTATCTGAGAGCCTGGGACAGGCTAAGGCCAGTAGTGTATATGTTTTTTTTTTTATGAACATGAGACGGGCTTAGTTGTAATCATATATCCTGGCTGGCTCAACCTAATCCTTAAGGTTAACAAGAACATCGAGATGCCCTCACTGGTAACTAGCTCTGGATTTGCCCTCAGTCTCGGGAAATGGATTTTTCAGGTATGAAAATGAAAGTCGTTTACTATCAATGATGTTGTGGCCTTTTAAGCACTGAAGCAGGAAAGGGACAAAGAACAGGCTAGAGTAGAATAAGTCAAACAAGCTAGTATGGAAAAATAGTTACCAATACAAAGCTAAGTGATTTGGCACCGTTTTCACGAAAACGAAATTGCATTATAAACCGCATTACCGCAAATCCTAATTCGCTCCCCTCTTTAGCCGTATAATCACGTACACAAAAGAATGATTACAAAACAACCTGAAAACTACATCTGAAACTTATTGACCAAAATCTGTAAAGACTGCATACTGCGTGGTCTTGTAAAACCGCCAAAACTTAAGCCCTTATTAATTTAAGATAGTGAGATCTTTCTAACCTGAGAAAACAGTTTACATTTCGCAACGCCATCAACGGTTATTCCGCGAAATGGCGTGTGCCTACCCTAATCTGGTTAGTGCTTTTGTTTGGTTGAAATGCTTCAATTCTGATTGGTTAAAAGTTTGCTTTATCCCGATCAGAGACACTACCCAGATCTAGGTGCACGTCATCAGTATTAACCGCGGCAGGATTTATTAGCTCAGTCGGTAGAGCGCTTGACTGCAGAGCAGGAGGT